ACTGCGTCGCCTTCGGCCTCCCTCACCTTCACCCTTGACTCTGGAGCTTCTCGCTCCTTCTTTCGGGACCGCACCACACTCACGCCGCTTAGTCGGCCGGTTGCGGTGTCTCTGGCTGACCCCTCTGGGGGTCCTGTCCTGTCTCACTTCTCCACAGTCCTCCCGTGTCCGGCGGCTCCCTCTGGCACCCTGTCTGGTCTCTACCTCCCCTCGTTCTCTACGAACTTGGTGAGTGGTGCTGACCTACAGGATGGGGGAGTACACCAGTTCACTCCTGCGCGTCAGCGAGTAACGCTCTGCACAGACTCCCGCACAGGCCGACACTTGGCTACGTTTACACGTCAGCCGGGGTCGAGCCTGTACACACTGACCAGTGCGTCTCCTCCAGTTGCTGAGTCTGGTAGGGTAGCTGCGTCGGGTCAGGTGTTTGCTGCAGCGTCCAGGTCTGTTCCTGAGTCTGCCCCCTGTTCGTGTCGGCTCCTGTCTCACGAGACTCTCCTGTGGCACCACCGCCTTGGTCACCCCTCTCTGCTTCCGCTCAGAGGCATGGCCTCCCGTCTTCTTGTTTCTGGTCTCCCCAGGTCCCTCCCTCCCCTTCCTTAGGGGCCTGGCCCTTCCTGTGTCCCCTGTGTCGAGGGGCGCCAGCGGGCTGCCCCTCACTCCTCCCAGTTTCCTCCGACAGAGGCCCCGCTGCAGACGCTTCACATGGACGTGTGGGGCCCAGCCCGCGTCCGTGGACAGGGTCACGAGCGCTACATCCTACTCGTTGTTGACGACTACTCGCGTTACACCGCAATCTTCCCCTTGCGCAGCAAGGGTGATGTCACTGAGGTGCTGATCGACTGGATCCGCGCAGCTCGTCTCCAGCTCAGGCAGAGCTTTGGCTCGGACTTTCCTGTTCTGCGTCTGCACTCGGACAGAGGCGGAGAGTTTTCCTCTGGCCTTCTGAGAGCCTACTATCGCGCACGAGGCATCCGTCAGACCTTCACGCTTACGAACTCTCCGCAGCAAAATGGGATCGCTGAGCGCCGCATTGGCATGGTTATGGACGTCGCTCGTACGTCCATGATGCATGCGGCAGCCCCCCATTTTCTGTGGCCGTTTGCGGTGAGGTACGCGGCGCATCAGATCAACCTCCACCCCAGGGTCTCCAGGCCGGAGACCTCCCCAGCCTTGCTGTGGACGTGGAAGGTTGGTGATGCGTCGGCGTTCCGGGTCTGGGGATCTCGGGCGTTTGTCCGCGAATTGTCTGCGGACAAGCTGTCCCCTCGTGCTGCTCCTTGCATCTTCCTAGGGTTCCCCCCTGACGCGCCTGGGTGGCAGTTCTACCACCCCACCTCTCGCCGTGTTCTGTCCTCCCAGAACGTCACGTTTGATGAGTCGGTCCCCTACTACCGCCTCTTCCCCTACCGCACTCCGTCCCTCCCCCCGCCCCCGCTCTTCCTTGTCCCAGGTCCCCCCCCGGTAGACCCCCTCCCCCCTCAGGGTCCTGCCCCTTCAGGTGTGTCCCAGGTAGACGCAGTCGAGCCTGTCGAGGTTACTGGTGACTCGGGTGCTGCTGAGGGTGCTGAGCCTTGGGGTGCTGAGACTGGGGGTGCTGAGCCTAGGGGTGCTGAGCCTGGGGGTGTTGAGCCTAGGGGTGCTGCGACTGGGGGTGCTGATCCTGGGGGTGCTGAGCCTGGGGGTGCTGCGACTGGGGGTGCTGAGCCTGGGGGTGCTACGCCTGGGGGTGCTGAGCCTGGGGGTGCTGAGCCTGAGGGTGCTGAGCCTAGAGGTGTTATGCCTGGAGGTCCTCCGGGGGCTTCATCTCGCCTGGAGCCACTCTCTCCACCGGAGCTGCGTAAGTGGTTTGCCCGGCGCTGGAGGCGTGCTGCGGGAGCTGGAGGTTCTTCGGCTTCTGAGGGTGCTGGTGCCGCGGGTCCCGGAGGTGCTCGTACTGGGAGTACTGGAGCTGCTGGGCCTGCGGGTTCGACTGGAGCTGGTGCTGCTGCGGGCGTTGGTGCTGAGCCTACTGCTCGCGGTCCAGCTGGGGGTACTATTGGTGCTGCTGGAGGTTCTGGAGCTGCAGGAGGTGCTGCTGGAGCGGGTGCTTCTGCTGGGGGTACTGGTGCTGTCCCTGCTGTGTCTGGCGTCGCTGCACGGCCTCGACCGTACTTCGTTCCACTCCTGCAGCACGTTCTTGGTCTTCCACCTTCTACAGGTCCTCCTCCTTCCTTAGAGTGTCCACAGCCTGTCCCGTCACAGCTACAGTTACAGCCTGCCTCCCCACTACTTGGTCCCTCTCCCTACATTGGTCCTACTGGAGGTCTTGCTGAGCGTCGTGAGCATGCGTCTCGTCCTGCGTCGCCTGTTCGTGCTGCTCGCACTAGTGGTCGCGGTTCGCGTCAGCGTCCTCCTCCTGTCCCTAGTACGCACCAGATGTCTTTGCGTCCGTCCACTGCTCCTCTGCGTGCCCCTTTGCCTTCTCCTCCTGCGTCCTCTCTTCCTACTCTTGCCGACCTGGAGTCGGACTCTCTTCGTGCTGCCAGTCCTACTATCACGCGTCTCCTTGCTACTGTCGTCACTGACCCTTCTTTCGAGTCCACTGCTGCGTCTGCCCTAGTTACTGAGCTCATCGACTTCGCTGCTCGCTGTCGTCTAGACTACGCTGCTAGTCTTGTCGCCGAGTCCGAGTCTGTCTGTCCTCCGTCCGTCGGGGGTGAGTGTGCCCTTGGCACGGACGTCCTTGAGGACAGGCAGGAGGAGTTCCACTGCTTGGCCGCTGCTTCACCTCATCTCGTGTCCGTGCTGCTTACCCCTGAGGGAGACCCGGATGCACTTGACATCCCGACTCCGCGCTCTTACGCGGAGGCAATAGAGGGTCCCTACTCCTCTCAGTGGCAGGCAGCTATGGATGCAGAGATGGCTTCATGGAAGTCCACGGGCACCTACGTTGACGCTGTCCCCCCTCCTGGGGCGAACATCGTTAGTGGCATGTGGATTTTCAGGGTGAAGCGGCCGCCGGGTTCTCCGCCTGTCTTCAAGGCACGGTACGTGGCTCGTGGCTTCAGTCAGCGGCAGGGAGTTGACTAATTTCAGACCTTCTCTCCCACCCCGAAGATGACCACTCTTTGGGTACTACTTCACGTTGCTGCTCACCGTGACTACGAGCTGCACTCTCTCGACTTCAGCACAGCTTTCTTGCAGGGCAGCCTGCACGAGGAGATCTGGCTGCGCCGCCCACTTGGCTTCACTGGGTCGTTCCCTCCTGGTACCCAGTGGAGTCTCCGTCGTCCAGTCTACGGTCTCCGCCAGGCGCCCCGTGAGTGGCATGACACACTGAGGACTACACTTTCGGCTCTTGGGTTTGCTCCTTCTACTGCCGACCCGTCGCTGTTTCTGCGCACCGACACCTCTTTACCGCCTTTCTACATCCTCGTGTACGTCGACGACTTGGTCTTTGCCACAGCTGACACTGCTGGAGTCGCCTACGTGAAGTCCGAGCTGCAGAAGAGACACACGTGCACAGACCTGGGTAAACTGCGCAGCTACCTTGGCTTGCAGATCACCCGGGATAGAGCACGCCGCACCATTACCCTGACTCAGTCACACATGGTGCAGCAGGTCCTTCAGCGCTTCGGCTTCATGTACTCCTCGCCTCAGGCCACTCCTCTGCCTACTCGCCACTCACTCTCAGCTCTGCCTTCGGATGAGTCCGTAGAGTCGAGTGGCCCGTATCCAGAGCTTGTTGGCTGCCTCATGTACCTGATGACCTGCACACGACCTGACCTTGCATACCCTCTTAGCATTCTCGCACGCTATGTTGCTCCTGGGAGACACCGACCAGAGCACATGGCTGCAGCGAAGAGGGTGTTGCGCTACTTGTGCAGTACGTCGGGCATGGGGCTAGTGCTTGGAGGGCGCAGTCCAGTGGTCCTCACTGGGCACGGAGACGCTTCCTGGGCTGACGACCAAGCTACACAGCGGTCGTCACAGGGTTACACCTTCAGCCTTGGTTCCGGCTCTGTCTCGTGGCGGGCTACTCGCTCGTCTTCTGTTCTCAGCTCCAGTTGTGAGGCTGAGATCTACGCCGGGGCCATGGCTGCACAGGAGCTTCGCTGGCTCACCTACCTGCTGACCGACCTTGGAGAGCCGCCTCGTTCTCCTCCAGTTCTGTACGTAGACAACAAGGCCATGCTGGCCTTGTGTCGAGAGCAGCGACTGGAGCACAGAACGAAGCACATTGCTCTCCGCTACTTCCTTGCTCGTGAGCTACAGCAGCGTGGACAGTTGCGGCTTGCGTACGTGGCCTCTGAGGCCAACACTGCTGATGTTTTCACCAAGGCACTTGCGCCTTGTGATCATCAGCGCTTCTGCACTCAGCTGGGTCTTGTCCCTGTCTTGCCTCACTTGCTCACCTCTTGACCTTGCTTGTACTGTTATATATATATATACCTTGCTTGTACTGTTATATATATATATATACCTGCTCTTGCTTGTCTAGCTTTATATATATATGTACTCCTGCATGTGAACTGGCCTTGTGGCCTTGAACTTGTGCTCGGAATGTGTGGTGACTTTGTGATCCACCCTGAGCTTGCTTTGCTTTCCTTTGCTTGACTGGTCTTGTGACCCCTTGTTCTCCCCCACTTTGCCTATGGGCGTGTGTCAGAACATTATAGCTTCTGCTTTTGTGTAGGCTATAGTGGGGTATCCCATAGGGGGTACAACCCAATTAGGGTTAGTACTTGTACCCAGTTCATTCATAGTTCATTCATTCTCGTTTCTTCTCACGTAATGCCGGCCCTGCGGGTGTTCCGCTCACCCTGATGACGATCCGCGACCACGTCGCTACGATGGCTCGCGGCATTAACCTTCCCGACACCTTCCGCTGCTCCGTCGGGTGGGTTCGCCGTGCCATGCGCCGCAACGGCATTCGGTGCCTCAGCGCGATCGGGGAGGCCGCGGACCAGGATCATGCCGCGGTTCGTACTTGCTAGGAGCAGTTGCCGCAACTTTTGATGTACCCCCGCGACGTATACAACTTCGACGAGACCTCACTCTACCTATCGGTCTTACCTCGTAAGACGTACGGAGGTGCGCGCGTTGCAGGTCGCAAGCTGGCAAAGGAACGTATCACAGTCGGCCTGCTTGTGAACGCGAACGGTAGCCACTCGTTCCGCCCCTTGGTCATTTCCAAGGCCAGGCGCCCGCGCGATTTCCGACCCGACTTCGACCCTGAGGAGTATTGCTATTGGCGTCACAATGCGAAGGGTTGGATGACGGCACCGGTATGTACTCTAATCTGATTTGATTTACACCCGATTTGTCTCTGGTTCTGAAACGTGTAATGTTTATAATCGTTTTCAATATACACCCAAGGTATTGACTTTTTTTTTCCGTGCGTGTTTTTTTTTTCACAGCTGTTCACGCACTTCATGTGAAGAAATGAGGAATGGAAGAAGAAGGGGTTCACTAGCAAACATTGGGATACATATAGCAAACCATAAAAGGGTTGTACTCACTATAGAGTACCCCACTGCAGACTAGAGAAACATAATATTATGACACTTCATTGAGCAACTCAGCGCCACCATGGTGGCCGAGGACCGCCAAATCGTCATCCTCCTGGACAACGCGAGCAGTTGCGTCATCAAAAGTGACGACGCGGCATCCAAAGACCTATTTGGCTTCCGCACTCGCACCCTCAGCAACATCTGGCTCGTGTTTCTGCCGCCGAACACGACCGCATTCACGCAGCCGCTCAATCAGGGACTGATCGCCACTACGAATGCTCGCTAATACGTGCACTGGCTTTGTGCGGTCACGGCCCTGTGGCATGATACCGGCGCAATGCCCGTGATTGCGCGGTACCGTCCGAACATGCGCGACGTCATCGCGTGGCTGCAGGACGCATGGATGAACATCCCCGTCAAGACGATCCAGCGTTGCTGGTGGCGCACGGGATGCATGCCGCGCTCGTGGGCCATGGATTTGGCGCAAGTGGGGCTGGACGGCCTTGCCCCGGTCGGCAACGGCGTAAATGCTGCTCTCCCTATCGACCTCGATGAGGACATCGGGGACGTCGGCATCATGATCGGCCGTCTAGGCCTCGGGCCTAGCGCAATGCCGGCCGCCGCCTTCGTCGCGATCGACGACGACCAGCCCACGTGTGCCGAGCCTGGCGAGGACCCGCTCGCCCTTGAGCCCGCGACGGGGTATTCGGGCGCATCGTGGGAGGCGCCGTCCACCATGCACGCAGTCTATGACGACGACAACCCCTAGTGCCGTGAGGCGCTGCGTTACGCTCGGGCGGCGAGCGAGATGCTCATTGGCTACGCACGCTCCACGGCCATCACGCCGTGCAACCTCTGCGCGCTGTTCGAGATCAAGAACCCCATCATCATCGACCGCATGGAGCGCGCGAGCCCGCCTCTGAACCTGAACACCATGCCGCCGCCCGCTTCCCCGCAACCGCGCCCCTCCACGCGACGGCGACGCTGGCGCCGGTGGCCAACACGCAGGCTACCACCCCTCGTCGCCGCGGGCGCGTTCTGCCTGCCTGGATGTATGCACCCGCTCCCACCCGCCAGCAGCTTATTGACTCTGGCGTCACCGCCGTCATGAACGGCTATGTCGCGGCAGCGGAGTGGATGTCTATGTGAAGGGGGTGTGGTCGCCCCTGTGAGGATTAAGACTCTCCTATGTGCACAGGCTTGTGCACATCTTGTGCACAAGTCTGTGTGTTTTAGTAGCTCTGTGTGATGCTTCAAGTGCGCCAGATATGAGTGCGTTATTGGACGTGGTGAGGTGGTTGCATGTTTGTGCTTGTTTGTGTGTAATTCAGAAATTGGGTGCTACGGAGTCGAGAAAACAATTTGGTAACACATGCAACACACAACAAACAACCACTGCCACACTGCACCGTTGACGTCTAACTTAAGCGGGGTGTTACACATTCCAGGTAGAAGCCCACTGTGCCCCTGGCGATGTGTACGAACATGCTCGAAATGCATAAACCACTTACAGTCCCTCTTCACAAGGCAGGTATGGGGGACTCAAACGAGCAGCAGGTGTACATTGATTTGTGTCAAGATTCTGTGCTTCATATTTGGAATTCAGCGAGTAAATGTGGGACTGAAAGATCTTTTAACTCAAGTTGTGCGGCCTTTATTTACTGACAGCAGCGGCACCCACATATTGACCTGCAATGGGTGGCAGTGAAGTACAAGCAGTGGGTGAGACCAGGGTCGTCGCTAGGATTTGAGGGCACCTGAGGCACTGTTGAAAATACCCTAAACCTTGATTCATCGGATGGTTAGATGTACACCTAACCATCGCTATTTTCAAACCCGAACCCTTGCATGTTCTCGCTTTTCGAAGATACCCTGCACGCATTCGACTATTTCAGTTGGGCGTTTGACCAACATGGGCTATGAAGCACCCCGATTTTCAATGTTAAGAAACGCATGAAAGCAAATCTGAGACAATTACCGCTCGTGTGAAGGGGCACTCTTGCTGTTGCGAATTCCCTTGTGCCACTTCTACTCTTTTTGGGGGTCTGGAACAAACTCACTGTGAAATTAGTGTGAAATTTCTGACGGCCCCTAAACCCTCGGTCAAAGATTCCAGAAAGGGTGCATACCCACTTGCGCAAGTGAGGTTGGAAATAGACCGAAAGAAAATAGCGGTGGTTGGGTGTATCAGATACTTTCTGTCACACTTATATGACTTAGCCTATGTAGGCTGAAGTGGGGTTGCACATATGGGGTACGATATTTCTAGGGTTTGTACTTGTACCCAACCCTTGCACTAGTCAATCATTCTCGTTTCATTTTTCACATGGTATAGAGCGGGTTCCCTCGTGGGAGCGCTCCCTAGGGCCCACCGAATCGAATGTTTTTTTTCCTGCTCAGAGCGCGCTTCGCTCCTCCGCAAGTAGCGCCCCGAGTGCCCTCCCTACCGTCGCGCCCTCCCTACGCCTCCTCCGGCCCCGTCGCGTCGCCCTTAGCAGCCCCTCGCGCCGCCCTTACGGCCTCTCGCGCCGCCCTTCACGACCGTCGCCGCCCTTCGCGGCCCGTCGCCGCCCTTCACGGCCCGTCGCCGCCCTTCGCGGCCAGTCGCCGCCCTTAACGGCCCGTCGCCGCCCTTCGCGGCCCCTCGCGCCGCCCTAACGGCTCGTCGCCGTCCTCTGCGACCCCTAGCGCTGCCCTTCACGGCCCGTCGCCGCCCTTCGCGGCCTCGCGTGCCGCCCTTACGGACTGTCGCCGACCTCCGCGGCCCCTCGCGCTGCCCTCTTACGGCCCGCCGTCGCCGCCCGTCGGCTCAGCACGCCGCCCTTGCGGCCCTTCGAGCCGCCCGTCGGCCCGCCGTGCGCCACCCTACCCGGCCCCGGCGCCTACTCCTGCGGCCCCAGCGCCGCCCTTCCCGGCCCCGACGCCGCCTCACCCGGCCTCGCCGCCGCTCCACCTGCCCTCGAGCCGCCGTTCCACCTGCCCTCGAGCCGCCGCCCCACCTACCCTCGAGCCGCCGCTCCACCTGGCCCCTCGAGCGGGCGGCCACCGTCGTCCCGGAGGCAGGAGCCGCCGCCGCCAAGCCGCCCAGCAGCCGAGCCGCCGAGCCGCCCAGCAGCCGAGCCGCCGAGCCGCCCAGCACCCGAGCCGCCGAGTCGCCGAGCCGCCCAGCAGCCGAGCCACCGAGCCGCCGAGCAGCCGAGCAGCCGGGCCGCCGAGCCGCCGAGCCGCCGAGCTGCCCAGCAGCCGAGCCGCCGAGCCGCCCTACAGCCGAGCCGCCCGCACCGCCGAGCCGCCCGAGCAGCCCTGTCCGGTAAGAGCAGCGCCTTTGTCACTGCACTGCCCTTACCCTACTGTTCGCGCTGCTAGTCTACTGCTGTCATGGCTACCCCTAGTGTCCTCGCTTTTGACGCTGAGGGTCGGGCCATTGACTTTGACGTCTGGATAGATGACCTGCAGCTTTTCTTACAGTGCGATAGGGCAGACAGTCTCTCCCTCTTTGACCTCACCTTTGGTGCCTCTCCTGCCCCTGCTGCTGATGCTGACGCCACTGTTCGCTCACAGTGGGCCACACGCGATGCTGCTGCACGTCTTGTTGTGCGTCGCCACCTGCCTACCTCTAAGCGTGCGCACTTTAGTCAGTACAAGAGTGCTCAGACCTTGTACGACGCTGTAGTTGCACACTACTCCTCCCCTGCCACTACTACACTGAGCCGCCTCATGCTACCGTACCTCTTCCCGTCCTTGCTGCCTTTCCCACAGTTGCTGACCTCATTACGCACCTCCGCACTAGTGACACTCGCTACCGCGCTGCGCTTCTTGCTGAGTTCTGCGCCAAGAACCCCCCCCCCCCATGTATATCACCCTCTACTACATAGTCACCCGGCTCCCTGACTCCCTTCGCGTAGTCAGGGACCACTTCCTCGCAGTGTGCCCCACCACTCTCACCGTCGACCCCCTCGAGAAGTCCCTCCTAGCAGCGGAGAAGAGCATAGTCGTTGTAGGAGCCTCTCGTGGTGACCCCCGCACCCACGTCTTTGAGGGGTGTTCTCCCTCCCCCCTCTTGCCCTCTGTTGCTTCTGCTGCTGCGGCCGACCTCGTTGGTTTTGAGTCGGTCGGCGCTGCGTCTGCCCCTTCGGGAAAGCACCGCACAGGCAAGGGCAAGGGGTGCAAGGGCGCTGGAGGAGCTGGTGGGGGCGGTGGAGGTGGCGGTGGAGCCGGCGGAGGGGGTGGGGGTGGTGGTGGGAGTGGTGGCGGGGGTGGAGGTGTTGGTGGCGGCAGTGGAGGCGGAGGCGGAGGAGGCGGCAGAGGAGGTGGAGCTAGTCGGGGTGGCGCTGCGCAGAGGGGCGGCTCCGGTGGTGGCCAGCGCCAGCAGCAGCAGCAGCGCACTCGTGACATCCCCCCTCCTCAGCAGCTCGGTGAGTGGTACGCAGCACGCCAGCTGGGTGGGGGTACTAGTTCGTGCACTTACGTCCTACGCACCGGAGACCGTGCGGGTGAGCAGTGTGGGGGTGCGCACTCCACCCAGCGCTGCTTTGGCCGCCTGACGGACGCTTGGCGTCACCAGTTCCCAGAGGCCACTGAGATCCCCCGCTGGGGTGAGCTATCTAGGGCGGGAGTAGCTAACTTTGACCTAGACTTTGATGCTATTCTTGCTGCCATGTATGCTGTGACTATTAGTGATGAGGGTGACTGTTACCGGTGTTTCCCGCCCGATCCGCGCATTGAGACTGCTGCTCTAGGTACTGGTGAGGCTAGTGCTCTAGTTGCTAGCGAGGCTGCTGCTCTAGGTGCTAGTGCGTCTACGTCCTCAGGTGCTGGTGAGTCTGCTCTCTCAGGTACTGCGCCGGCTTCGCCCTCCCTCACCTTCACCCTTGACTCTGGGGCTTCTCGCTCCTTCTTTCGAGACCGCACCACACTCACGCCGCTTGGTCGGCAAGTTGCAGTCTCTCTGGCAGACCTCTCTGGAGGTCCTGTCCTTGCTCACTTCTCCACTGTCCTCCCGTGTCCGGCGGCTCCCTCTGGCACCCTGTCTGGTCTTTACCTCCCCTCGTTCTCTACGAACTTGGTGAGTGGTGCTGACCTACACGATGGGGGAGTGCACGAGTTCACTCCTGCGAGTCAGCGGGTGAAACACTGCACTAAGGCTCGGACAGGCCGACACTTGGCCACGTTTACACGTTAGCCGGGGTCGAGCTTGTACACACTGACCACTGAGTCTCCTCCAGTCACTGCGTCTGGTCGGGTAGCTGCGTCAGGTCAGGTGTTTGCTGCAGCGTCCACGTCTGGTCCTGAGTCTGCCCCCTGCTCGTGTCGTCTCCTGTCTCACGAGACTCTCCTCTGGCACCACCGCCTTGGTCACCCCTCTCTGCTTTGTCTCAGAGGCATGGCCTCCCGTCTCCTTGTTTCTGGTCTTCCCCAGTCCCTCCCTCCCCTTCCTCCGGGGCCTGGCCCTACCTGTGTCCGTGGACAGGGTCACGAGCGCTACTTCCTGCTGGTGGTTGACGACTACTCGCGTTACACCGCAGTCTTCCCCTTGCGCAGCAAGGGTGATGTCACTGAGGTGTTGATCGACTGGATCCGCGCAGCTCGTCTCCAGCTCAGGCAGAGCTTCGGCTCGGACTTTCCTGTTCTGCGTCTGCACTCTGACAGAGGCGGAGAGTTCTCCTCTGGCCTTCTGCGAGCCTACTGTCGTGCACGTGGCATCCGTCATACCTTCATGCTTCCGGACTCCCCGTAGCAAAATGGGATTGCTGAGCGCCGCATTGGCAT